GAGGTCAAAACTAGTTATTCATTCACAACCATGATCCAACAGGTGGGGTCCTGCAGGGATTCGTTTCTCTTTTTCTATCAATGGACTGGATGTAAATATAAAAATCCTTGTGGATACAATTTACAAATTGCACAAAGATTGACAAGAGGAATGAATGACAATGACAAGCAGTCATTGGCAGCTATCTAGATCACCTGGTAACCTGAACCCCATTCAAACATAAATCATTTTATTCTGTAGTGGAAATGCAGTCAGACGTTTAAGAGCTAGAATACAGGCCATTCCTATGCAATGGGAGAATACGTCCCAAAATACATCAAGTCTGAAAAGAATACATTCTCAGCCAAGAGGAGCAAGGCAAAAGCCTGCATGCACTTCTGCTTGGACAGTGAAAAGGGACAGGATGCCATTTTTGTTTCTACCTTACTTTCTCATTACATTGTATACTGGCTAGGTTTCATTCTAGAGATCCAATTCTAAGGGAAAAAGAAAAAGCATTAATTAAAGTTTTTAAATATTTAACAATATTATGGGAATGGCTGCTCACTGCAGATAGCACTGCTGGAGCAGCTGGGATGAGCTGCCTCTTTCGTATGGCTGACTTGGAGCAACAATTATAAGTCCATTTTAAGTTTAGTTAATCAGTTTAATGCTCTTGATGAAAAGGGAACATATCTCTGCAATGTCACCTTCAAATTTGTACAGAAGGCAGAGTGTTACATGGTCCATAGGTTGAGCTGAGAAGACTGGAGCAAGTTTATATAGACAAGGTAAAAAAAAACAAACAAGTGTACGGAAGTAGGACTTTGGAAGCAGACTTGCACTAGGGGCAGGCTCCCCAGTTTCAGAGAAGAGAAGGAAAAAAACCCCACAGGTGACATGAAGAGCATACAAACTGGAAGATGGGATCAATAGAGGTAGTCATTAGTCTAGTAATCTGTCTGATAATGACCAAAACCAGATGCTTCAGAGAAAGGTGCTGGAGACTGAGGGAACCAATGACATGATCAGGAGACAGAAGTGTGTCTAGAACTGGAGCAGTATGAAGGGCTTTTAGGAAACGGGTAGTCTTAAAATAAGGCATCTTATTCTGTTACAGTCTAGGTGAGGTCCTCAAATTCAATAGTTTAATTTGTGATACTTTCCCCCCTCCATAGAGATTTAATTTATTGCAACATTTTGTATTTAACTGAATGTAACCTGATACCTGTATGACAAGCAGACTAACCAGATTAACACTGACACTGTAACGGTCATTATTAGGTTTTCGAATCAACGGTCCTGGGATCATAAGCATTTTTTAAAGTCTTTACAAGCATAAGCCATAACATCATTTTTTTTTTAAACTCCAAGCGGGAGAGATCCTGCAGAACAAATTTTTAAATGCCACAGCCATGATGTGTATATACGATAAAGTGGCATATAGAGGAAAAGGGAGTCTTAACATCTTACCCACGTATGTTCATACATTGAAAATTGTAGCCCACAAAAGGTTTAAACCCTTGAACCAAAAATATCTCCCTCCAATATCAGCCTCCCCCTTTCCCACACTAGGGGTAACTTCTCTCCCCTCCCAACCCCTCATTCTCCGTCAGCAGCCTTCCATCAACACATCTGGCCTTGTAAAATTCTACAGGAAAGGAACGTCGTTTTGGGTTCAATATCAGAACAGGATCCCTCCTTTTCTTTGACACTAAAGTTCCAAGCAATTTAGGCAGATGCATCACATCAGGCATGAGAGCAGTCCCTCTCATATATAACATGAGCCTAGGGGTACATAGGCTTTAACTTTCAGCACTCAAAAAAAGATTTTACCAAAAAGTAACACTTCAATAAGTAGCGTAAGATGAAGAAAAAGATGCTTCAAGAGTCCAGTTAACTCCCCAAAACATTAAAGCCCTCTATTTTATACAGAAATTAAGAATGTTAAAAGTCCATACACATTTATGCAACAGGTTATATGGTTTTAACCAGATCACTGATAAACCAGATTCGGTTAAATCAGTACAATTTATGTTTATACAAGTCCTTTTTCAATATTGTTGAACAAGTGGGATATAAAAAAACAAACAAACAAAAAACAGGTGCTTTTAGGTCCATGTGAAATTCTGTTTTACAGGACAAATTATGCTTGAGCTCATTTTTAAAAAGGATGTAATGGATATTTCTTTTTGGTGGGGTAGGGGAAGGAAGAAATAGAAGGGAACAAAAATACGGGATTACAAATTCAGGTCCCTTCTAACCAGGAAGACAATAGAGACTAGAAAAAAAACCAACAACTAACGAATGATAAAACAGGAGAAAAAGTGAACCATAAAAAGGGTTAGCACCTACACGGCTTCAACAACTAATATGCTCTTGAAAGGCAATCTGGGGAAGACTTTATACATCCTCCCCTCACAACAAACACATTCAGCAAAACCAGGCAAGAGAAACTATGAGATAATAAAGGCTTCTAAATTAGCAGAGAAAGTATAACAAGCTATGAATTGCTTAAAGACAAAGCCAGAGAAAGTTAAAATGGCAGGATGTTTTTAACTATACAATGTTTAATAATCCCTTGAGTTACTGAAGCAGTGGTAGACTGGCCATCTCTTCTTGGGAGATGCCAGAGGAATGGGGATGCCTTTCTGGAACGCATGCTTAACCAAACAAGCCATTAGGCTCAATATAAGAGTATATGGGAACAGAGGCATTGGAATGATCTGTTGGGTTATTGTCATACAACTCGAACCCAGTTCCCTGTGATCACAGGCAAGCCTGTACTAAAATACTTAACTAAAAAGGGACCCACAAGAACTCTGGCCCTGCTGCACACCAAAGCTACAGAGTAACAAATGTGTTATTAGATTATTTTTTTCTATTATGCCACAGGAAGACAGCAATGAAGTCAAGGGCACTGCCAATGCATTAGCCCTTGTCATGGCAGAGAATTTGGTAAATTATGCTCTCACGATTTCATAGAAGTAATCTATGCCCCTGCTACAGAGGAATGGAAAGGGCTATTGAGGGTACTTCAGTCTGTATGATCCTGGCCAGGTGGGGATGGCATGGGGCTCGATTCAGCTTGCAGACTGGCCCTGTGCCATTCATTGGGCCCATAGGGCCAGAACAATAGCACTATTGCAGAAGACAAAAAACCACCAACCAACCACAGAAGCCAGGTAATACATTCAAGGGGAAATAAAAGAAATGTTTTGTGGCCACGCACCTGACCTTAAGGGAGAGAGGGACCTGGAGCGATGTGGGCAGTGGGGTTCCCCAGGGCTCGGTCCTCGGGCCTGCACTGTTCAACATCTTCATCAGCAACTTGGACAAGGGGGTAAAAAGCACCCTGTTCAAATTTGCAGATCACAAAGATGTGGGGGGAAGTGCCGAAGCCCCGAAACTTGTGTCAAATGTAACAGAGCAACAATTGCAAACATTACAAAAATTAAAATTGAACATTAGTAATTGAATGGATTTCTATAGCAAACCAGTTTAGCTTAACTGATTGAATGGTCCCTTATGGTCCTAAAGAACCGCACCCTCTTCCCTGTAATTATTAACAAATTTGTCAGTTGAAGGCACTGATTATGCAGAAATTCCTACCAGTTTACCATTTTTTTAAAAGATCAAAATAGGACAATTATCCCAGAATAACTGTACAGACACATATTTGCACCAAAAATAAACAACCCATCCTCCTACCAACCAAGCAATCTAAACCCCCATAAGTTTTTTGCTGCAAGTTAAACCAGTGGAAGCTTGCATACATTACAACCCCCCACAACTTTTTCCAAATAAATCTGACAAAGCCTTTCGTGCATCAGAAAACACCAAACTGAAATTTAAATAGTCCTTTGCAAGTCACCTCTAATTACAACTTTTCAGCAATATATCAAACTGTAAAACCATTTTATGTGATTTGTCTGATTGCAAATTAATATCACTTGCAGGGATGCACAGAATACACACATGAAAATAAGCAGTCAAAGATTAGAAACAGGCTGAATTAAATGACTGCATGAATTTATTATAAATATAGAAACAAATGTTAGCAATTTGCTCATTTGGGCCAACAAATTCTGTTAAATGGGCACAACATTTGGATGGTATTAAGCGGTGTGAAACCACATGCTATAAGTAGCAAAATACTTCTGAGTCTATTAACACAATTGTGAAATACAAATCAAATTCCTATCGAGAAGCCAGTTAAATAACTAAAAGATTATTTCTCTTCTATATCCTTGCATGTTTGTTTTAATAGCCAAGAATACTTCATAATACCTTTTTTTTGACAATTTCACTACTAGAAGAAAATACTGTCTCAGGGTTCATTTTTGTATTTTAAATGGATAATCCAGAACTTTAATACCACTTTCCATTAAGTGAAACATGTTACAATTACCTCTAAACATTCATTTAGATCTATGTACATAGTATAATTACGGAAGGTATGCACTATGCAACCAGTGATGTCACAGAAAAGTCTTGTAAACAATATAAATCTAACTAATCTTTTACAAAGACGAGAATCACTAAGTTATCAAATTCTTTCAGGTATAAATAGTATGAGGTAAGCAATACTTAAGATGAGGCACTTCAACAATAACCCAAAAGGTAGTTAAGTGTACAAAATTATAAACAGGAACAGTTGTTCATATTGCCCTCAATTATATTTAAAAATGATTTTAAATTCTATATACAGTGTCACTTACGTGCCTCATAACCCCCATTTAAGCAAAATATTTAGGAATTACAAAAAGAAAAATCGAGGCATCAGTAAATACCTTCAAATATGTGCAATACAGACAGATGAGTAAACGTGGGTATGTAGCAGTATATTAAGAAAGTGCCTCATGTAAAAAAGAAAAAAGTATGGTTTTCTGCACAATCCCAAACTTTCTGTTGAAAGAAAATATCTCTGCACAGAAAGTTAGCTTGGTATTAATGTGTAAATCTGCCAAGCCAGAAAGGAAGAATCCCTACTGTGTTAAAGAAAAGAATGCCAATTAGAACAGGATTTAATTCTTATTGGGATTTATTGTAATTAGAAATGTAACAAATTTAACTTTACAAAGAAACTAATTATGCCAATTAAAACACTTAGTAAAACTTCCTAGGAATTTATGTAGCACCGTGTATGTACACAGTGCTGATCAATGCATGATTTATTAAAATGACTTGGGGCACTTTTCCAGGGAAATTTACTGAAGGGGTTTAAGCAGTTGAGCATAGACTACAATACTTTAAAGAATTCAGATTAAAATACAATAACCTTATCTACCATGAGCACTTCTATATCAAGATCAGAGACAGGACACAATGCCCAATAAAACGTAGCAGTAAACAGAGGTATCTTGTCGACTTACAGGTATCAAAAGCATTTGGTTATCACCTGCACTGTGTCCTTGTTCATTTGCCTGGCTAATAAGCTCAACATTTATTATAAAACTGGGAATATAGCTTTCAAAAGAGTAGCAAGAGATCGTCATGCCAACTAATTTGTACTGAATTGTATCCTACTACCACTTGTGTCATTTTTTACAATTACAGTTAAGTTGATGCAACAGTAACCTGATACATGCTTCCTCACCCTTATTTTGGGAAGGTAAAATGGAAACTTCCAAATAGAAAAGAATATTCCCTTTTGGGAATAATGTACCTGTATTATGTGAACACTGATCATAAATTAGCAGAGGCTTATTACAAGCCAGCTCTGGATTTTCTTTTTAAAATGTATTTTCAGAAAGCCAAGAATGTTTTACGTAAATTTGACATTTTGAACTAATTAAACAAATGCAGTCTATGTTAAGTCTTCTGTTTTTAAAGATAAGCCAGTCCAGTTTTGAAATTTAAATGAAAGAAACATTGAAAAAGCTTTAGTTACTAGAATGACAAAATTAAACTTGGCAAAATTAATGAATTTTATTTACAAATACATGTACCAAGATTACAACAGAAACACACTCTGAAACTCCATCTCAACAAAAGCAATGATTTATTGATAATGACATTAAATGAAACAGATTGACAGTCTCTGGCTATGGTCAAGCAATTATCCAGGAGCTGGAGATAAACTGAAGATCTCATTTGATTGAAATAAGGCCTTCCAGTGTCTTTTCCATCTTAGTGACTCTCTCCTTTCTTGCCTACTACCTGATAAAAGAAAAATAGAAGATAACCACTAATGTATGTTTGCAATTGCACAAAAAATGTAATAGCCCTTAGTAATTTAAGTGCTCTTAAATTTTCAACTATATTCATTCTTCAGCATGCATCTTAATGCTGGCAGTAGAGGGAGCTGTAAATCCCTCCTGGAATTAAGTTAGACATGGAATGCATGTGAGAGAATCCTGTTTTCTAGTATTAATCCAGATAGCAAAGCAAGATCTCTTTTGAGACGAGTTAGGAAATAGTAACTGCAATACAAAACAGCCCACACTATTAAAAATATACACCAAACAAGGTACATATGAAGGGTCAGAGCCAAATACAACGTAAAAGAAAAATACTATTCTTGAAGACTGCAACAAGCCCCTCCCTTTTGTACTCGTACCCCAATTAGCTTTTCATTTCCTGCAACTAGGTATACATTAAAGACAGGAGGTTGATCAGGAATTTTTGCATTATAATGCAATTCAACACTGAAAAGTAACTAAAAATGGAGCACAGGAGCCTCCCAGTTTTGCTTAATTACTGCTGTATCAAACACACTTAGTGTATGAGTAAGAAGCTTCCAATTCCAGATCTACAAACTTAAATCAGGAACCAGTCATATTGGATTTTTTTCTTCTTGCACATCACCAGCACGTAATGACTTTTTGGAACATGGATTAGCCCTCCAATTTCTGTGCAACCCTGTTACCTCCATGCAGGTGGCACAGAGGCAGCTGACTGGACCTTAATCTTGTTTCTGCACAGAACGGAACAGAATCAGTCTTACTTGGCTAAGATGAGTCGATACAAGACACAGGGAGCAGATCCATTGTTAAGATGGAACCATTTTTACTCACTTTGCAGAGGAGAAGCACTTTTAAATCTGGTGTCTTGTAACCCAATACAGTAAGCAGTTATTAGCCATGGGGGGAGAGGAGTGGGAATAAACTGATTTAATAATCACTGTACCAGATTGGAAGATGGAACTTTCTAATATCAGTTTGGCCTCTTGATTTACAGATATGGCCCCATTTCTCCCTCTGAGTTGAAAATACTTACTTACCCAACAAGGTTTTGCCAGGAGTCCAATTAGAAAAGGGTTTTGAAACTGTTAAATCCTATGTTTCTAATAAAGCCACGTTGTTTAATAAGCCCAATTTTACACTTCATTACTTGAGATTATTATGAGCAATGGTGACACTGATATTTCTAAGGAGTAAAAATGTATTTTAATAAGTTGACTCCTGGGGTAAAATGTGTTAATAGGATGGTTCTCACTGTGGTTCACTGGATCCTAAGGACAAGTCCTTGCCTGGCATAGTTCGTAAAGCTCCATCCTTTACTACTGGCTGAAACAATTTATCAAGGCAAAACACGAGGAACTGACTTTTTCCCAGGATGTCAGTGAGGAACACAACCTACCCCACAATCTATGCCCCGTCTCACTCCTGCCCCCTCCTCTGCCCCCATAGGGAATAGCCAAAGGCTTTCACCACTCAGCTGCAACTGCTCTAGGAGACATGCTGACTGACCTACTTTGAAAAGTGCTTGGAGATCTGATGGAAAGAGCTATGTAAGAGCCATCATCTCCTCCTCCTCCAAAGAGCTGATGGTCAGGAGTGTGTTTACAGAGTTGTGAGGCCTAGTGCTTAAAGCTAGAACAATTCCAGTCCAGAACATAAAATCCAAAAGTGCAGAAAAGAAATAGTCTATTTACTTGGGTTAAGTTTCCATTAAGTCAAGTTAAAAATATAAGATTAAACTTGGTGAATAAGTGATAGAGTAATATTTATTGTTTGGTTGTGTTTCTTAAGCACCAAGCAGTGTTCAGATATGCATTAAGCACAAAAACACCAATATATTAAAGATTAAAGATGTTAGCAGGTATATAACATCAATCAAAAAATAAATCTATACCAGTCAGAGGTGGAAATTGTCAACACTCCCATGTGTATTATCTGCAAAAGTTAAGCATGCCAGTATGGATATTTTGTCATCATGGGCCAAAGAGGTTCATTTGTTCCCAATCCAAATACAGAACAGCTGTAAGAATTTACACTACACAGATACTGCTATTCTTTCCATGAGCATTTGGTCTATCTCCCTGTCATTGTTTTTAAGATAACCCATATGGCAGTTGCTTGTTAAGATTTCAGATCTGAATAAGGCTATGCAATTCTAACCTAATGCAAAATGTTTGGAAATAAAATTAAAAAAAAAAAAATCAAATTCCCTGACCACTTTACAATAGTCTAAAAACAGCAGGGAGTCGCTTGAAATACTGTATTTACACAAAATGCTAACCAACTAGTCAGTTTATGTAGTGTGCTCAATTTGTACATTTTGAAGCAGAAATCAGAAATTAAGAAGCCAGGTTATCCTTACCATTGACAGAAATAATATGGTATGATGATGTAATTGTTATACCCCATTAAACTTGCATAAAAAGAAAGAAAAGGAAGTACAATACTTTGCAGTCTTTTACAAGCTGCATCTCAAACTGCTTTGAAGAATGAAATACAAGACAGAGCATGTTACACAAAACAGGTGGAAAAACGCTTCATGGCAAATCTTTAAGGCAGCTAGTTTTAAGAATAACAAAAGAATGGAAATCAAAAAGCAAGGTGATAAGAGATCACATTTTTAAGATAGGATATCAAAAAAAAAATAGTTGATGAGGAGACACACGGGAAGGCTGTTCCAGATGACAGAAGCTGCAGAGGAGAAGGCTCTTGTACCATTGGTGAGAGTGTGGGAAAGGAGAGACAGGTACTAGATGAGCAGCGGAAGCAAGAAGGGGAGCAGTGAGAGACAAGATCAATTACAAAAATTATAATTCTTCTGCATTTTTAGTTCTTTGGGTTTGGGAAGTTAAGCTGAAAAATAAACAAACAAAATGTTACAAGAAGCAGCTTGGAGTGCAAATGAGTAGCATTGAGACAAAAGAAAAAGCTATACTAATTCAAGGGGGGAAGGGGTAGAGGGAAAGGGGAGAGGAAATTTTTTTCACATGCATAAGTCTCCACCCTAAAACAGGTGTTTGCAGACATTAAAAAAAAAAACTAAACCAAAAGAAACCCCAAAGAAAAATGTTGCTTTACTTTAAACTCTGCATGTTCCCATGCCGAGCCCCATGCATGCCCATAAGAGGTAACGCATTACTTTAATCTGGCTCCGCAGCGTCTGTAGAAATCAGGCACATTAGTGGGGCTATTTTGGTACTTCTAGCTACAGCTGATTCAATCAGCTATTACATAAAAGTGCCAAAAAGCCTGGCTGATGCACTGGATCTTTACAGATGATGTGGAGGCAGGTTAAAGTAACGTGCTGCTTCTTCCAGTAAAGAGCACTTAAAAAAAAAAAAAAAAAAAATCTGCAAGCAGCCTATGTTACTTGTTGTAAAGGTTCTTCTTCTGTTAATTAACTATTAACTTCTGTTAATAATGAGTATAACAATGCACAGTAGGTTAAAAGCATATTTGATATCAAATAAAAGTTTATTTAAAAAAAAGCCTGCAAATTCATCACAAGATTCAGTAACAAGTTACCTAAACTCTAGGGTACTAATAAGGAAAGAAAATAAACCCACATCCTTGAAACATTTACTGCTTTTACTGGTCTGGTTAACAGGGCAATTTGGCCTAGAAAGTGTGTGGTATAAAACATTTTAAAATTTATCAGCTACAGTAATTTACTCTTCATAACAGATTGAGTAGTTCAAACTAATACGCACATCATGCGGGTAGAAACGTAAAATCTGAAGTACCAACATATCCATGATGTTTGATTCCCATTACTACCACACATCCTACACCACTTTTATAAAGATGGCCATTAAAGCAAGCAAACAAAACATTTTGGGTTTTTTGGTTTTTTAATAATGCAGCGAATTCAAAGAAAATTCAAGTAAATTTACTCTCTGGCTGCTCAGGACCACTCTACTTAGCCAGGGCAAAAGGTCTCTCCCATCTCCCCTGCCACTCACTCACTTTCCGCACTCACCATAATTCAGTGCATCTAGTTTTTACTAGAAAATTGTTTGAAGTCAAGTTTACACTTCTCACAGGCTACAGTTCAGTTGTGAAAAGAGAAGCAGTAGCTACTCCTTCAGAAGGAGTGATTTGTTTGGTATTGTTTTGTTCAATTGACTGTAAATGAATAGCTGGATCCATGTATTCCAATGAACTCCTGATATAATTACCTTTGAGATGCTTCCGCTAGTGGCTCTGCTGATTTTCAGAGTAAAACGTACACCACACTTGATGTTTTAAATACTGGCTACCTTTTTTGGGCAAACAAATTAACTGATTGAAAGCATATTTGTTGTTAATACTACTAGAAATAAGATTACCCTTGCTTGACTATTATTTAAGTTAAAAAGAAAAAAAAGTATTAGGACAACAGACGATGAGGAGAAATGAAAAAAAGAGGGAGCAGTATTTTTTAATCAGGAACAGAATTTATGAGAATGTGCAGAGCTACTACATAACTATTTCTATAACTATAAAATTAGATGAAAAGTGAGGGGCAGTTAGAGCCAAAGTTAAGACTAGTGAGTGAAGCAGAGATGAAAACAGGGAGGTGTAATGAAGGTAACTGCGCACAGGAAATGGAACCAAAAAAGATTTAGTTAAACTTTATTCAGTATATTTTACCAACGAATAAAAATAATTTCCAGCACTACATTAATAGAACAGTATGGTTTTGCAGTTAAATTGTAAAAAGTCTGTCATAAATAGGTTAGAAACAACAGAGGAAGATTTAAATCTTCCAGACTGATTATATACATACAAGATATACATAAAATCTTGATGCCTATCTTGCTACAGTCATCTGATCCCAGCAGTCTTTCCTGCCCAAGTGCAGGGGGACTGGAGTTAATGATCTGTACGGTCCCTTCCAGTCCCTAACATCTATGAAACTATGAAAATCCCACATATCAAGTAAACTATTTAATGAGAGAATGTAAAAAATATATATTTGGGAAATTAAAGGGGGGGGTGTGAGGGGATTCACGTTTGTCTGCAGCCAATAAACCCAGTTCCCTGAGCCTCTATTCAGAAGTTATGTGCCTCAGCCCCTGAACCATTTTCACTGCCCTCACTGGACTCTCTCCAATTTGTCCACACCCTTTCTGTAGTGGAGGTCCCAAAACTGAACATAATACTCCAGATGTGGCCTCACCAGTGCTGAACAGAGGGGAAAAACCACTTCCCTCAATCTTCTGGCAACACTAATACTAATTCAGCCCAGTATGCCAGTAGCCTTCTTAGCAACGAGGGCACACTGGTGACTCATATCCAGCTTATTGTTCACTGTAAGCCCCAGGTCCTCTCCTGCAGACCTGATGCTTAGGTCTCTCTGAACCCTAGCTTTACCCTCCAGCACATCTACTACTGCCCCCAGCTTAAAACTGTTCTGAATTAGTCCTTTTAATTCATTTTCTCATTTTATGTGTTCAACTTTATGTTCCTTTGATAATGGTATATTTAAGTTTCCTAGACCTTTCTAAATAGAAGCCACATAGGGACACAAATATACTCCTCTGCTATTATAAAGTATGCATTCTTTCTACTGCATCACATACATGTACAAGTCAGTGGAACTGGCTGAGTATTTACCAACACCTACAGGAGCTTTTCTAGGTTTAAAAACCTGAGCTTCACAGAGCCAGGAACTGATGTGTAGATTCCCCCAACCAAACCAGAGTTTTTTCAAGCTGTTTGTTCTAGGTGCTTTTGCCATTTTATCAAGGACAAAGAGTGTGGATTCAGAGTACATGACTGCATTAAAAAGATCACTGGAAGCTACTCATAAAATAACATACAGGCTTAAAGGTTAAGATGCACCAGTTGGGCAAGGCTCTGCAAATGTGCAACCTTAAACTGTAAAACTTAATGTTTTCATTAAACTTCATTAAAAACTTTTAATGAAGTTTTCTATTGTGGAAGCTCAGTCCTACCAGTGAAGAAGTTTGAAACTCTTCCCTGAACAAACGTTCACCAATGAGGATTGTTCATGTGTAAAATGCAGTTCTTATCATTTATAGGTAAAAAAACAAACAACCAAAAAAATCCCCTTGGTGTTTTTAAAATCCTGCAGGTCCAGTTTTAGCTTTCAACTCAAATCCATTTCCTTTAGCAGTTAATGCTTCCCTTCGAATGGAGACCAAGCCTACAAAGTTTCACTGTAAAAAATATTTCCAGAATCTTGTGAAATTCTGAAGGTCATAATAAACATTGACCCCATTCTTGACAGCAGTCACTACCCTGCTGTGATACTACTACAAGTCACGGAGGAAGGAGGAATTGAAATGTTTTTAAAAATTGTCATTTACACTGAGTAATCGAGACACTTCTGATATTCTGACACTTCTAATCTACACATTTCTTCTCCTTTTAACAACTGAAATGAAAAGATTGCATTAAGCCACTATAAGTTGTAAATCCAATCACTCCTAGTACATTTATTAAGACAGCTTTTTTAGCGAGTCTTTTCAGGTTTCGCTATAAGATAAAAACTGTCAAACTGTTAAACTCCAATTAGTTTTTTTGCAGGAACCTATTTAAAGCAATGGGATATAAGTTTATCAATAAATCCTTGCAAGAGTTTTATCAAAGGTTTCCAAGAACAGGACTGGAAGGTTTATCAAGACTTTTAAATAAATGAAATTTTGGCAAATAGGAGCCCTTAACTTCTTATGCCAAACATATTTGTTTAAAGGAATTATGTTGTGAGTGTAACTGTGATGTTATCACCTTAAAAAGTTTAACTAGTTCACTGACAGAAGACAAGTAATTTTATCTAGTTAGTCTGAGATGGAGATAAGGTGAAAGAGTTATAAATAGCTCATCTCACGTTAATTGCCTATTAAGGATTCTTTTCATTAAGATTTCAAAATCCCCATTTTCAGTTTGATTGAGGCTCTCCAGGAGCAGATACCAAAGAATAGCTTGATAGAACTTCCTTAGGAATAAAATGTTTTTAAGTTATACTAGAAGAACTGAAAAATTACATTATGAAATTGCATAAGGATTAAATACACTGGTTAGTGTAAAAGTAGAAGCTGTCATATGCCTGCTTAATATTATCAATAAGACAAAATTGTCTGGTCCAGATTCTTTTCGGCTGACTCCTGCTTTCTGTTTTCCTCTGTGCAATGGTATTTCCAGAAACTGACCACCATGAAGACATAGGACAATACCCCCATTTGAAACACTCTGCAAATATTAAAAATGATTTTTGCATCTATTCCTCAAGTGGTTACTGCTGCTGTTTATCTTTCTCATGCTCTTATTTTATATTGCTGGAGTGTTCCAATGTAATGATAGCCACACACTTTATAAATAGTATCAGAGTAAGCACTTCAGTTGAAGTTAAATAGGTGTTCTGAAAGGTGCAAGAGTTACTTTAAGTCAAGACGTGGAATTATAAAATATCAACTAAAGTGGATTTTTCAATTAATGACATTTTAATTAAAAACTTAAAATCTACATTTCAAAATTAACACCACTTACTCGCTTGAAGTCATTCATATTTGTTGCCTGGACTGGAGTTCCAATAAACGTAAAATATGTAATTCTTGTTGTTTCTTCATCACCATGATTTGACCGGACAAATAACTAACGAAGGACAAAACAATAGATGTAATATATGCAAATAGTCTTTCCCTTACGAGAGGCATTGCCATTTCCCCAAATTTTTAGAAATAACGAGGCCAGGACAGCAGATAACTTCAGCAGTGCAATCCAAATTCAGACTCTTCCTCACCGCCCCAACCCCTTTAAAAGAAAGATTCCTGCCTTCATGTTGCAAACACAAGGGAGATCTGTAGCTGACAACACGGGAAGTTCTTCCAGTATTTGGTATTCGCTAAATTCAAGAGCAATTCAATATGGAAATCATACTTTAAAATTTCAATATGGAAATCATACTTTAAAATTATTTTCAACTACCACAAAGCTGATTTTTCCTCTAAGGCAGTGGTTCTCAACCTTTTTAGAGAGCCAAGGCACCTTGGATAAACTTGAGGTACCCCTCTGAAGATGCAAGCTCTTAGTTTTCACTCTTTTTTGATCATAGAAAAATAAAGCAGCTTTTCTGTTGCAAAGAACTCAGAAAGACACTAACTACAAATTTCTGTTGGATATTGGTTTAATCTCGTGAATCATGTTTGTGCTAAAATTGTGTGGAACCTTGTGGCATTTTTGAAAGGGCATCAAGGCACCTGGGGTAGGCACCTTGGTTGAAAACCATTGCTCTAGGGCCTGAATAACCTGAAAGGACAGAATCTGGGCTAGTAAGAGCTATGAAGAAATCTAACTGTAGGAGGACAGAAGCAGCAGAACGGAGGATAGGACACTGTGCTGAAGTGTGGTAATATATTGGATTGGTGTCTTTGATTATTCTGATTAATACTGAGTACCCTGCAAGTACTTGTATGTAGGTTAACTTTAAGACAATGACTAACCCTATAGATGCAACAGGACTGTTCTCACACTCACACACACACACACACACACACACACACACACACACACACACACACACACACACACACACACACACACACAATTGCAGGTCTGGGGATTATACTTGTACTCAGTGATTTGATGCAACTAGAATCAGATTTGGTCAATATTCTTAGAGGAGTGGTAGCCAACTGACTGCATATGCTACAAGTGGCAAGGACAGCCTATGCATGTTGCATATAGCATTATCAGGGAGAGCACAGGCAGCCTCAGAGAGAGGCTGGCAGAAAGGGCAGAGAGCAGAAGTCAGAGCAGCAGATCAGCTAGGAAGCACAGGGCAGAACGCAGAGCAGCAGATTGGGCAGGGGATGGGAGTAACACAAAGTTGGGGGTAGGGCTAATTTGTGGCAAGCCTGTCTCAGGGTATGGACATATGAAGCAGTTTCAAAAGGGGAATGTATCAAAAGGGCAGCAGCTGGTGCCTTGTATCGGCTGTGTGTGGACAAGCTGGGAATGATACAAATGTAGCAAAACCAATCTGGATGAAGCAGTGTTAAAAGCCTGAGCTTTTTTGCTACGTTAGTATCACTCCAGGCTTGTTCACATACAACTATTAAAATAAAACAACCATTGCCCTTTGAAGCAACTCCAAAATGTATGGGTGTCCATACCCTCTTAAGGAAACCTTCAAATGGTACACTCAAGGACAGGATATAATTCAGACAAATGTTGGTGTCAACCCTTTCCTTTTAAGCTGTTCTAATCCGCTCCCACAAATGAAACTTAAAGGAAGTGAGTTTTATTAGGTATACAGTCAGAGATGATCCAAGTATGGTGCAGGGCCTGGGACAAATCATCCTGCTCCTGGACACGAGGAAGTCAGCAGCAGATTTGCCCGGGG